AATGGCTTCAAAGTCCTCACCACTACAAAAATGAAATAATTTCACACGTAATCAAAAACATTTTTAATAGAATTAAAGAAGGCACCATCTGAAATTCTGTCAGTCTTGCTAAGGTGTCGGAGCATTTTTAGAACCAATGCGAACTCCTGATTTCTGCACATAAACACCTTCCTTTCAACTCGCCAGTGTCAACTTTAAATACATGGAAAGGATTTCTAGAAAAGCCCCCATGAAAACACCACATTTATCAGTAAAAACTGTTTCTTGCACTTGTTCTTAATTAATACAGTCATTAAAACATTTTAATAATCCTTATGCAGCAAGAAGTAATAAAGGTCTTCTACATCTGCACTAAAAGCTTCACTGCTGTAGGGGTTCTCGGAGAGAAACTGAATTAGGACAGACAATAACCCACATAAAAGTGGTCTGAAAAACCTAATGAGACTAAGCAGTTCTGCATCCCCGTAGCATAAATGATTGTTAAAATGAGCTCGTGACGCATTTATTCAACAAGTACAGGTAACAGTTTTTATCGAAAAATGGTGTTCCTACGGGAGCTTCTCTAAAACTCCTTATCATGTATTCAAAGTAAACACTGGCAAGTTGAAAGGAAGTTAATATGGGCAATCACGGATTTGCATTGGTACTAAGGTTGCTTAGATTCTTAGTAATTTATACCTTAGCAAGAATGCCAAAATGTTTATAGGTTGGTTTAGATAATTATATTATTAAGCTTTTTCACTCTGTGAACAATTACTTGATATTTTTGTAGTGGTGATGACTTTGAACTCGTGGTTACCTCGCTGGACAAACTCGTGCATTACAGGACCAGTCAACAGGCTCTGACCCCCGCCCCTTTAAAGGGCCACTCACCAGGTTTGACAATTTTGAGCTGACAAGCGCAATGCGTAGACGAGGCGTTCATGGTCACGTCTGCCAAAATTTGCAACGCTACGCGCCGCGGAAATGGGTCTAATTTCAAGATGAAAGCTGCCCGCCCTCCCCTCTACCGGCGCACGCGTAGAGAATGAGGGCATGACGTGGGCGTAGGAATGGCCCTACGTACACAGCACTGCGGTCACGTTGGTCCTCTACGTAGACGACTCTGCTCTGACGTTGTCAACAGTATACCACGTAACATGGCAAAAATTATTTAACCCAACATGCGTAGTTTATGTATTTGTTGCTTTAAGAGATTAATAAAACTTGAAATAAATAATGAGACGCAATAAAAAAATTTTGCACGTTTTTCTTACTTTTTTTTCCCATGGAATGCTACGAGATGTGGGGCTAATGTGCCAGCGTTTCACATGCATTCGGGTTCCCTCAGTCAGCGCATTGAGCAGACGACCGCCGTGGAACGCTCCTACGCGTTCGCGCACTCTCTGTGCTCATGTATTCTACCGCGTCTAAGCCAGCGTTTCCAAACAATCCCGTAGAAACAGGCAGAAGACCACAAAATAACGCTGGTCAACAAAGAAACGCCGCTCGCGAGCACGGGGGCTGGGCTTGTTCGGACACGTCACCTCTTGGTCGGGCGCCGGAGAGTGTGGGGAAGAGGTTCGGCTTGCGAAGGCTACGCGGAGGAGCGGCAAGGGTTTCGAGCTCGTCTCCTCTCACCCTCGTTTCACGCAGCTTCAAAAGACCTGTCTTCTCCGCTCGTAATGAACCGATTCCAAAAATTTTTGTCGCAATACATTCCTCATCGAACACCCAACAACTTCCACTGTCTAACTAAAATTCGGTATGGGGCCTGGTGAGAGGCCCTTTAACAGCCCCCAAACAAGCTTGGCAATTCGCATAGGAGACTGCGGCAATTGATCGAACTTTCCCGCTGCACGCCATGCAGACCCTTCATTTCAAAAAGCAATACCAGCGTCTCTTTCCTTTGCCTGACCAATCCCTCTCATACGCACAGTGACGCAATCTTGCCTATGGGCAATTTGACATGTCACCCAGGAGCTCACCAAATGGTCGTATGTTCTACGAAATGGCACCTTAGATGCAGTTTTGACCACGCATTCCACAGTTTCATTCTCCTGTGCTGCCCTCTGCTGTTTTGTAAAGCCCAAGCCTAGCAGGAGAAGTGGTACTGCCAGAACGAAAGCCTTCGAGATAAAGAGGCATCTTGCTAATTTACCGCAAGGGGAAATATGCTCCTCGCACCACGCTTCCTCCCTATGCCGCTATGACACGTGTTCATGGTGGAAGTCCTGCTCGATCGTTGGTCGCGCATCAGTGACGTATTCCTGACGTCTGGTGACGTTTCCAAAGTGGGTAGAGTCACGACGACGGCTACGCCTTCACCTCCCTATAGCGGAGGTGGGTGGAAAGGCCATACGAGAATTTGAACCCAGCTGAAACGAATGTTCTAACCCCTGTAACATCCTTACTACAGCACTTTTTCGCAAAATTCTTGTGGTGACATGTTCAAATAGCAAACGTGCACATATTTTTTTTCATTACAATTTTTGAACCTCAGGTTTGTTAACTGGCCCTTTGTCTTCCGTCTTCCAAGTTGTGTGAGCAGTAAACGAGTACCAGCACGCAGTTACGCATGTTTTAGATTTGTTTATTTACAGGATACCTGCGTTGTCTCAAAGGCATTATCACAGGGGAAACATGTTTGGCATGACATTCTACAACAAAGTCACCATCAATGTAAATGGTAGATTAGCATGTTCAAAATTAACAGAAAGCTAAAAAAAATAAAAAGCACTAGGACAATTATACACTATTATAAACACAATTGCAAATAAAAATCATGATTATCATATATAGAAACATAGTTTTCCGGTAACACGTTCCAATCTCGTACAGTTTGTGGGAAAAAAGACCTGGAAAAATTATTTGTGTAGCAACTAAATGCGTATACTGTCTTGGAGTGGTCAGGATTAGCTGAAACATAGGATGGTTCTAGGTGCGACTGTCAATTTCTGTTTGATTATAAAAAATACGGTGGAAACATTTTAGCCTCAAGTTTTTCCTTCAAGCGGCTAATCTTTCCCAGCCCAGTAATGTTTTTAATTCAGTGACTGTTATTACATTGCAGCGACCACTGTTGCTGAAAATGAAAAAAGTCAGTTCTCTTGAATCTGAGCACGGCTGCAGGAAGCAACAGAAAAAAAAGTGCATATTACTCACATTACCTGAATACCTAATAGGCTGAGACAGTGAGATGTACATATAGCATTAATGTTGCTTTCATGGCTACCAATAAGCTAGGTAAGATATATGCCAGTGTGGAGAAAGAATGAGTGAGTAATAGACTAGAAGCAGACTGACATTTGTTTTGTAAAACACACCAAGAAATTCACCAACTGCCACACAGGTATGGCATATAAGGTTCCATTTAGCTGTGGCCACTCCGGCCTAATTCACACGGGCAGCTGTGTTAACGAGATTATTGAATTATAAAAGATCGCTAACCAGAGGCTCATCCCCTGATCTATCTTTACATTGTGGAGTGTCAATGCAAGCAGAAATTCAATGAATGCACAGTTTTGTACACGCACAGGCATGAAGAAATGCACAAATTGGTTGAGGCATAGCACATAAATAATAGTGGTCATGCATGCATGAGTCAATTATCCAAGAACTTGCATAAAGAAATCAAATGCCTTAAAAGCTATTTCTCTCGCAGACTCCCATGCATGCCGGATTTATAGATATCATCAAATGTCTCGGCATGCACGAATAAGCATTTGTACCTTCTTTCTTCTCCGCCATTTTGCACTTTAGCTAAAGTGAACAGACAACCTGATTTAGCAGCTGAGGTAGTTTTTTTTTATCATTTTGGCCAAAAGCCAGCTTGCAGTCGCAGTCAACTAGCCGGGTCACCATACCCTTTTGGTATGATCTGCTTTCTATTCCTTTCTCTTTATATCTCTATTTCATTCTTTTTGCATATTTTATTATTCTCTCAACAATATCAACACAATCATAAATGATCACCATAAATGCATGAAGCTATTACCTCTAGACCAAGTTGTTATGATGCTTTCCTATGGACCGTGGGTACCAGAGTACAAATTGTGCCACGAATTCGTATTGCATTTTATTTAATTATTCTCCAAGCTTCACTTCACGGAGCAGGGTTTTCTCTTAACGCTCGCCTTCCTTCTCCTTCCAGAGTACTAGCCTCAGCACTTCTTGTTTTACTAAACGTTCCTCTTCCCTAACCCCCGCCACAGTGGTCCAGTGGTTATAGTGCTCGACTGCTCACCCGAAAAAATCCGACCATGGCGACTGCATTTTTTTTGAAGGCGGAAATTCTTGAGGCCCGTGTGCTTACATTTAGGTGCACGTTAAAAAACCCCAGGTGGTCAAAATTTATGGAGCCCGGCCCTGTGGCATTTCTAATAATCATATTGTGGTTTTGGGACATTAAACCCAACATATGTTATTTAAATAACAATATGTGGAGAGCAGTGGGGAAGGAGGCTTCTACCTCCTTCCCCACTGCTTTCCACCACTTGCTTCCTCTAATTTCATCGATTTTTGTCGCATCTTCCGAGCTGTACTCAGTTGGTGCATACACGCCCGAGTCTTTGCATACACTACGTAGACTCACTCCAAGCCTAATACAGCTCCGCTGTTACAATTCTGTACGAGTTATGAGTTATATTTTTTTTCAGTCATTTCAATCACCACCACCCCCACCCCCCCCTTCACGTAGGACTCTGCGGAATGTGGTCACTTTGGCCTCAGCAGTGGCTAGTCAGCGTACTTTAGTCCATATTAGTCCACATCTCTTTAGTCCATATTTGCACGCCCAGTATTTCAACACGAATATGTACCAAGTAGCTCAGCCATCTGTTATTCCAAACAGTGATCATATGAGAGTTTTGAAATACCGTACGCAAAGCTTGCGGGCGTAGCGTTAGCGTAAAACGCATGCGCAACGCAAACGCTAAGCTTTGCGTGCCGTTGTTCTAAAACTATTTCGGTCACGCGTTCTCGTGTTGGAAGTCAAGAGCTTCAAAGAAAACACAACTCACTCGTATGTCAACGGCTCTTTCAAGACGGAGCGGACATATTCCAGCTCTACCTCTTCTGGTAGGTCTTTCTCCATGACCGAGTACCTGGATAACAGCACAACACACGCCACAAGATACTATCACAAATGGCGCATCACACGTAAATGAGTAGATTCCTGAAAATGTATTAAAAGCGCAAATGATTAAAGACAGCCCACACAAGTTCATCTTAACACGTAACAGCCGAAATAGCAACTATTACGGCGACATGTCAAATCACGCACAACGCGCACGTATCAACAAAAGCATACACTTGCTGTCATCTGAGTTTTAGTATGTATCTGTGAAGCTACGCTGAATAAGCAATCGATGCTGGCTTGTGATCGCTTGTGAGAAGGCGAAATTAGTTGCAGCACTTGCCAATTTCATAATTAAGCCTTGAGAAAAGATAATTTAACAAAAGAAACACATTTTAGTTAGCGCAAACAATGTCGCGTAACATGCTCGGCGCCCGGGAAGAATGCTTGACGAGAAAAAAAAATACCAGTCATTATTAAGAAAAAAAAAATGATAGGAACCCGATCTTATATGCACTTATGTCACGGATACTATCGAGGTTAAATTAACATCCACTTACTTTGCCGGTGGACCACAGTAAGCGCGCTTTCACGTGGTGCCGTTGTCAGAGCGCTTTCACGTGGTAGTAACCAACAGGAAAGACAAGCATGGATGAATGGATTGATGTGGCTGTACGTGTTCTGTGTCTGTACCCTTTAGATCGGGCGGTGGCTAACGCCATCTAGCTGTAATACTTTAGTGAACCAAAATTTTAGAGATATACTTTTTTTTTCTTTAAATAATGAAGTTGAGGACGGGTACTTTGCAGTGAAGGGTTTATTTTCACTCGTGCCTTGCCCCCAATCGGATAACCTCCTTATCGTTAATTCTACCCGCTTAAAGTCTATTTGTCCCTACACCCCATACGATAGTTATAGCGCGAGAACAAAACGACGACACAGAGACAAGGACACGAGCGCTCGTGTCCTTCTTATCTCTGTGTCGTCGTTTTGTTCTCGCGCTAAAACTATCGTCATGCCATACCAACTAGCCCAAGTTCCCACACTGCTCGTGTCTTTCGTGTTCTTCTTGTCTCTGTGTCGTCGTTTTGTTCTCGCGCTATAACTATAGCCATGTCTAAACCCCAGTTATGGTGGCTAGAAGGCACGGAGCAGCGCTCAATTTCGGCACCCTGTCGATATTTCAGTTCAGTGACGGACCCACGTAGGCATGCCGTAATTCCAGAAGCTAATTAACATATTTGCTCGGTGGCCATTTGAGGCCACACACGAGCAATAAAATATATTTTAAATGTGTCACCTTGCCTGCGCGCGTGGTTGATTCCCGTATGAATAGATGGATGGATGGATGTGGCTGTACCCTTAAGATCGGGCGGCGGCTAACGCCACCTAGCCGTAATACTTAGTGAAGTAACCATTAGATTTATCTTTTTTTTTTTTCCTTTAAATAGTGAGGTTGAGGATTCGTACTTTGCAGTGAAGGGTTTATTTTCACTCGTGCATTGACTTTAGTCACCAATCAGATAACCTCCTTCTAGTTAAGTTTACCCACTTAAAGTCTATTTTGCCCTCCCTGTCCCTAAACCCCATTGCTTTGAAAAACTCTGCGCCATCATCCTGAACCATAGGGTGAAGCCCTTTACAGAACATTATCAAGCGTTCGGCGGTTTTTTCTTCCTCTCCACACGCACTGCATACTGTGTCTACCCCTTCGTATTTGGCCCTATATGTCTCGGTTCGCAATACTCCCGTCCTGGCCTCAAACAGTAGAGAACTACCCCGAGTATTATCATAGATCCTTTCCTTGGCAATTTCCTGCTTAAACGTTCGATAGATCTCTAGTGCGGACTTCTTAATCATGCCAATTCTCCACATGTCAGTCTCCGTTTCCCTCACTTTCTTCTTAACTGATAGTTCTCTTTGGTTTGGCCATCTGCTGTTTTCTAAGTATTTACCAGTCAATTTTCTGGTTCGCTTCCTCCATTTTGTATCGACATTCTTCATGTACAAGTAGCTGAAAACCTTCCTAGCCCAATGCTCCTCACCCATGTCTCTCAATCGCTTCTCAAATTTTATCTTGCTGCTAACTTCCCTTCCCTCAAATCATGTCCATCCCATATCACCTTGTACTCCCTGATTTGGTGTATTCCCATGAGCTCCTAAAGCAAGCCTACCTATACCACGTTGCTTAATTTCTAATCTTGCTTGAACTTCTGATCTTACGCACAAGACCGCATTGCCGAACGTCAGCCCAAGAACCATGACCCCTTTCCATATTCCTCTCACAACATCATACCTATTGTAATTCCACAGTGCCCTATTTTTCATCACTGCTGCATTCCTGTTACCTTTAGTCGTCACGTATATTTCGTGTTCCCTTAGGTACTCGGTCCCATTGCTTATCCATACGCCCAGATATTTGTATTTATCAGTTATCTCTAGCGTGACCTCCTGTATTCTAAGCTCACTACCTTCATTATCATTAAAAACCATGACTGCCGATTTTTCCTTACTGAATCTGAAATCTAACCCATCTCCCTCATCACCGCAGATGTTCATCAATCTCTGCAAATCTTCCTTGTTGTCAGCCATTAGCACAATATCATCTGCGTACATTAATGCTGGTAGTGCCTGGTCAATGAGTTTTCCTTGTTTGACTAAAGAGAGGTTGAAGCCGAGTCCACTTCCCTTTAATTTCGCCTCTAATCCTTGTAGGTACATCATGAATAACAAGGGTGACAGTAGACACCCTTGCCTAAGTCCCCGTTTCACTTCTGTGGGCTTGGATACATGTTTTTCCCACTTTATAACTACCTTGTTACTTTTATAGATTTCCTTTAAAAGATTAGTGACTCCATCTTCCACACCCAGTGTGTCTAGTATTCCCAACAAGTCCTCTTGAACCACGATAACGTACGCTCCCTTGATATCCAAAAATGCTAGCCACAGGGGCCTGAGTTTTTTTTCTGCTATTTCGATGCACTGCGTCAGTGAGAACAGATTGTCTTCCAACCTCCTGTGTTTCCGAAACCCATTCTGCAGTTATCCCACCACCCCCTCATCCTCTATCCATGCCTGCAGTTTTTCCTTTATAATCTGCATTGCCAGCCTGTAGACCACTGATGTCACTGTTATAGGACGGTAGTTGTTTATGTCAGCTTTGTCCCCCTTTCCTTTATAGATCATGCTCATCCTGCTAAGTTTCCATCCATCAGGGACTTCACCATCGATTATTGTTCTGCTCACTGCCTCTCTCAAAGTCTCTTTAGACTTCGGACCCAATGTCATCAGCATAATTGGAATGCCATCTGGGCCAGTTGATGTACTACTTGGAACCCTCTTCTCAGCCCTTTCCCACTCTCGTTGTGAAAATAGAGCCATTGTGCCACTTTATCCATCCCTGTCTATTGTGGTGCATAAGGCACTTCTTTGTTGAAATTTTTCTGTCACCCTTGTTCTTATATATTCAATAGCTTCATATCTTTCTAGCCTAGCACCTTGAGCTGTAGTTATAAACCTCTGCTCTAGGTTTGTTTCATTTCTTAGGGAGTTTAGATGGTTTCGAAATTTCACAGCTGCCTTTCTGTCCTTTTTATGTACATCTGCCAGTCACTGAGCACCCTTTCTTCTAATCTTTTCATTGATCAGGAGGGATGCTTCCCTTCTAGATCTTAGAAAGATTTTCCATTTTCTTTCAACATCATCTGTCGGTTCACCCCGTTACTTTGCTTAGCATGTCTGTGTTTCCTAGAGGCTTCCTGACGTTTTGCTATGGCTCTCTTAACTTCCTCATCCCGCCAACTCTTGGGTTTGTGTCTTCTTTTCCAGGGTGACTTGTCGCGTGCCTTAGCAAGCTCTAGCCCAAACAGTCTAATTAGATTTGTGTATGTCCACACAGTTTTATTATCCTCAGTGATTACTTTCTCAATTTGTTTAGTAGCAATTTTTCTTTGCCTTTCTGAATGAAAATTTTCCTGTAGTTGCTCATTTTGTCTCCTTTCCACTTTCGCTGCACACGTGCAAACGTGTGCCAGCGTCACCTGACGGTTTCCTCCCAAGGCGTTACGCGCTAGCCGGTGCGTTCATCACACTCATGGAGGAAGGCTTTCCTTCCTCCATGCTAGAAGGAGAGGTGTCAGCATCGGCACGCCGGAGAGCGAGCGAGAATTCATCCGGATGCGGCGGCGCTACAGTCGCTTTCGAGATGCCCCGGGCGCGCCCACGCGCGAGTATCAGTCGTTTTTTGTAGCAAATATTTCACGCTACCCAGTAGATTATAACAAAGTCTACCTACACAATTCAGGCGACACGCTACAACATGTATTGGCACTGGAAACTAGTGTTTTCAATTCACTTCGTACTATATCAGCTACGAAGCTTAGAAGATAGAGAGTCAAGTGACTTGACGTGAGCTTGACACCAAAACAAAGCCCGTGCAATTTTCAAATTTGGTGCCGCAGTATTCTCTGTGAAGTCTCAATGCACGTAAAGGTATCGGCAACCATTATTTTTATGACTTGCGCAATCAAGGTCTAATTTTACAAGCAAGACATTTATTTTCACAAAAGCGAAAAACAACATGAAAAATAAACACGACATATGCATTAAGGTCGGAGAGAACTGCAAGTTATACGAGACTCAGCCAAAGCAAGTGAATGAGGCAAGTAAAAAGAACAGTAAATATACAATGATACAATAGGCATACATAGACACATAAGACATTGAGATTCGATTTGCAAACATAAATACAGTCACAAATCAGTTCACAAAAAATTGCTTTCTGCATATGTGAAACACAACCAGACAGTGGCATCACAGTTGTTAATGGGAGAATTGTAACAATGTAAACAAGAACAAGACAATCGTCTAAACTTCAAGAACTTCATTTTTTTTCACTCTCTATCTCTCTTTTTTTTTTATAGGACGCATTTTCTCTAGCAACGAGACAATGCCGTCTGGTCAGTGTAAATAAATTAATCTAATTATCTCATTTGTCACTTCCAGTTTGTGGTGTCCACAGCCAACCATATTTAACCTCTTCACAGACAGACAATAGGTAAGGTCTGTTATGCTGTCACTTTTCAGCTTGTTAAAATAGAAGCAATATGTGAATGCGTCTTCCATAGCTTTGACCAGGTCTGTTAGGGACTGGGATGGGCACAGAAGGCATGATTCTGCTGGAAGCAAGCAGGAATTCTCAGAGCAACAACCTGCTACATTCTTTGCACTTTGTCTTTTTCACCATCTTCCGGGCCACATAGCCACTGACGTAATAAGTGATCCGGGAGTCACTTTTGCATCTAATGAGATCAATGTGGTCAGGAAGGGCTTCACAAATAACAATAATTTCATGAACCTCATTGAGGCACCCCACATCTAGCAGCTCATTCTGCGATTTCATATTATTATTATGGATGCGTCCTGACATAGAAGACTGCTCAGAACTCCAGAAGGTATGTTTCCACTGGAGGGTGACTGCCAAACTGTAAAAATTGAGGCAATTCACAGAGATCAAAAATTTTGTCGGAGAGGGTGATCATTCGAGTCAGACATTTGCTTCAGAATTCCAAAAAAGATTTTAAGCGTGTCTTGGCAGAGGCGAGACGTCATCAAGTATCTATAGCCCAAGGTTTTCATGACAT